GCCCAACTGCCCAAAGTTTTTAATCCAGCCCACTATATGGAGTCCCATTTCCGCGCTCAGGAAGCCCAGCAGAAGACATGAGCACGCGGGCCGTTCTGGCCCGCACTCAGCCCGCGTGTTCGGCCCGTAGGCCCGCGGTGTCCAGCCTGATAGCAGGCCCAGTTGTGCGGTTTCCTCGGCCCATTTTTCTTTACCTTGCTCCAGTGCGGCCCAATACTCGAACAGGCAGCCCAATGATGTTATTTGCGTTCCGGAAGCCCGTTTTTCATACCGAACTCATTTTTAAAATTTTTGTAAAATGAGAAAAGTTCGGGAAAAATTATTTTAAGTTTTCCGACTCATTTTATTTTTCCGAGTCATTTCCTTTTCAAAACTCGAGAGTTCCAAATCCACGAAAAAATTTGATTAAAACCCTTTAAGCCTTAATTTTTATTAAGTGTGGGTTTTATAAAATTTCCGAGTAGTGAGATAGATTATTGATATATTATCTCGCTTAAATGTAGGTGTTTAAGGAATCGAGTCCTCAGTCTACTGCCTGCTGATTATTGTAATCTCGCCTACTTCGACTGATCAGGTGGGTGTTGATAAACCTTACCATGTATGTTAACTTTTATAACTACTTGGCTTGATAACCAATGTATCTATCTAAATCATTAGTCTTCGAGAGTGTATCTCCCGGTGGACAGTTCTCCTAGTTATGCCTCATGAGAGTGTATCTCTCGTGGATGTTGGTCCGAAGGTTTAGCTTCCATTGTTGGACGGTATTTAGATGTGATCACATGAGCGTAGGGCAGTATAGGAGGTAGACTAGATGATTATGTTCATGCTGCGATTATGATTTTAAGTCATTATATTGGTTATACTGCATGGTATTCCCACGGTGAGCTAGTTGTTTGCTCACTCTCACTATTAACCACCTTTTCAGGTTGAGCTGGTGGCCATGGCGAAAGACGAACGAGGAGGGGTCATTATTTGATATTGAACTGCTAGTTACCTGCTTCTGCTTGTTTATTATTATTGATTATCTCATTGTCAGACTTGCTTTATTGCCATGTGGAAACTGAACCATTATTTTCGGGTATTATTATTATCATGCTTGGGATTTGTGGAACTAGAATACTATTTGGAATCTGATTTGATTTGGATATTATTATTGTGTTGATCTGGATTTCAATGTTTCACATGATGGAATAAATGTTGTTGGCATGAGATATTTGTTTCGGGATGGTTGTACCCCGTTGTTTAAGTGATTGACTTAAACCGTTTTTATGTGGACAATCGAGTAGCGCCCGTTAAATAAGTTTCAAATTTGATTTTTGAAAAATTAACTCCGATTTTTGGAAAAATAATTCGGTATTATTCTCTTAAAAATAACGGGGCGTTACATGTACAACCACCAAGGCTACTTTAATACTCAATGGTCTTAACAGATCGGGATGAATCTTTAAAGGATAAGATAGAATCTTAAGCTGACTCAGATCTGACTAACAAGTGATTAGGATATGGACCAAACCAGGTAAGCGGGATGGTCGACCCAGGCCATTTTGGGCAAGTATTTTCCTCTATAAAAGGAATTGAGGTAACATCAAACCCTAACTTTTACACTCTACACATTTTCGTATGCTGATGCTGCTCTACGAGCAGAGCACTCTTCTCTCTTCTTGATACTGACTTAAGCATCTGAGGCTCTACGCCGGAAACCCCTCCGGCGTTGAGTTCTTGCAGGTTTTTGTGGCGATCTAGAGGCGGTTCAGAGAAATCGGAGCTCATCTCAAGCGGTTTTACTCCAGATCTAGGAAGTAGACCTATCAAGTTAGATAAAAGATGTTGATATTATTTGTATAACAATTGTGTACGGAATTTTATGGCTTTGGCTATGCCATTTAAAGTAATTAACTAATTTTAACAAAACAAAACTTTCTTAATGAGCTAAAAAGAAATAATATTTTAAATAAAATGTTTCAAAAAATTATAATATAATATCATTTAAAGTGACATTATGATTCGTTAGTCGTAGCTACTATGTAATAAAATAAATAAAAATATAATTACTTTATTAATGCAAAATATAACAAAAAAAAGAGCAAAAAAATTATAATAATTTTTTTGTCAATAATTATATATATATATATAGGTGCGCTCAAATGAGAATAAGAGATAATGAAGGAAATGAGAATAAATCTAAACCATTAGATCCATCAAGTTAATGGTCATGATCCAGTCAAACTTTAATAATGTCAGGCAAACATATGATGGTATTATTGTAAATACTTTCATGGTCAAATATGTGCAATTGACTACAAATTAAGGGTATAATAGTCATGAACAAAATTACAACTCATCAAGTGGACCCATACTCTCACACACTAAAATACACACACCAATATAACCACTCACGCACAAATCTCGCAAACTCACAAACACACAGTAGTCCGGCCCGCCGTCGCCTCCAACTTCTGGGCACAGCAGTCCACAGGGTCCACACGAACAAACACAGTCCACCGACGGCCACCACGACCACCGCCGGCCATAGACGTGCGCCGCCGCCATTGAAATCCTTCCCCCGACCGTTTGCATCCCACCGCCAACGTCTCCTTCGCCTTCAACTGGAAACTGACAATAACCTTTAGTTTCTCCTTCCAGATCCACTACATGTGACACATACGCACGAACACACAAGGTGTGCCGGCCGACGCGAGTGGTGACAGTGGTCCAGTCGCAGCCACAGCGAGTCGTCGTCGCCGGCGTTGAGCAAGTGGACAAATGACTGT